CCCAGGAAGAAGGGGCCTGGAGGGGGTTACCATATCCTTTTTATGACACACGATAGTTGGGAGTCTCTTGGGGTTGAGGGCTGGCTGTGCTCAGCTGTTGGATGCAGGAGGGGAGGTGGGGGAGGTGACTTTGAGCCACCGTGGCAGAGACTTGGAATGAGCTGGTCTTTAAAATTCCCAACTCAAACCAGCCTGTGATTCCAGGACTCCACCCAAGAGCTGGGGTTTGAACGGGACAGAAAACGCGGAAATTTCTTTAAAACTGGAATTATCTTTTCCTGGTGCCTCCAGCTCGTCGCGTTGGGGAAATAAAGGGGAAAACTGCGTGTCTGTGGTGCACGAGGCCCGTGCGCCCGTGGATCGAGCTGGCTCAGCACTTTCCTTGTGTACAGCTCCGTCATTCCCAAGGGCAGAGCCGGGGCGGGGCTGGGGCCGATGCCAGTGGGGATGTGCCTGCGAGGGAACGGGAAGGAATGGGGAGGGACAGCCGCTGCAATCGGCTCCGCCGCCCCGGGGGCTGCTGCTGGGAGCCAGAGGCTGAGCAATTGGCACTGGAAAGGCAATTGGCACTGGAAAAGGAGAGAAAGCCCCTGCGGAGTAAAGAAATCCCCCTAATTTCCTCAGTGGGACCTCAGGGAAGGGGCTGGGAGCAGCACAGCTGGGATGGGATTGGATTAAATGGCCTTTAAAGGTCCTTCCAACCCAAACCATCCGCGATTCCGTGAGGGATGAACTCGGGCTCCTGCCTGCAGCAGCACTGGGTCCCCTCTGCTTGGTCACGGCGCCCCAGCATTAATGTTTTCCCAAGGGTTTAACGAGCATCCTGCCTCCTGCAGCTCCATAATCCTTTGTGCTGTAGCAAAAAAGGTTTCTGTTTTGTCTGCCCTTTTCCAGGCTGAATCACTGCCTGGGGGGAGCGGTGGCTGGTGCGTACCCTGGGGCAGAGCGTGGGGTGCCAGCAGCGATGGGGGGGGGTCACACCCCGCTGCCTTTCTTTGTATGCTTTATTTACAACGCCCCAAGGAATGATTTCCTGGGGCGGTGACGTGTTTTTTGGAGTGGATTTCCTCCTCCCGCCGCAAACTCGGGCCGGGCTGGGAACTTGAAAGTAAAACGAGATCTTGTCTGGGAGGAGATGGAGACTTGGAGGTAGTGATGAGCTGGCTCATAACAACAAACGGGGGAAAAAAGGGCCTTTGAACGGAGGATTTATTTAGAGACAAAGGGATCGGGGCCGTGAACGCCCTGGGCTGGGCTCCTCGGCACTGAGGCGAAACAGCTCCTCTGCAGGGGAGATAAGAGGGTCCCTTGTCAGTGGTTGCAGGAAGCAGTCTCTGCCTGGATCGAATCCAAATGGAGGGGCCGTGAGAAATCAGGTCAATGCAGAATCGATGTTAGTGCTACAGTCGCTCCCCACCTCCCGTCTGGTTTAGAGCAGGAGGGAATCATAGACTCATGGAATGGTTTGGGTTGTGAGAGACCCTAAAGATCAGCCACCCCCTGCCGTGGGCAGGGACACCTTCCACTGTCCCAGGTTGCTCCAAGCCCCATCTGACCTGGCCTTGGACACTTCCAGGGATCCAGGGGCAGCCAGAGCTTCTCTGGGCAACCTGTGCCAGGGCCTCCCCACCCTCACAGGGAAGGATTTTTCCCTAATATCCCATCTAACCCTGCCCTCCTTTGGCCTAAGGCCATCAAGGAAGGGTTGGGAACTCTTGAAGCTGTCACTACAGGGATGTGCTGCCTGGGGAGCTGGAGCTCTCGGTTTTGGGGAATTTCATTATTTTGTCTGTGTGGCTCTGAGCCAGAGGGATGTGCTGTCACAGGAGGCACGGGGAAAGCAGCCCTGGATTGTGTGGGATGATCTGCCCTGCCTTTGGCACAGGAAAGCCAAACTGCTCCTCGCTGTGGGAGAGGTTTGGTCCATGCACCGAGGCGCCTCTTCCCCCAGAGCACGTGTTGTGTTCCCACAGCACGTCCCCACCTGCCCTGGCCTCTCCCAGCTCTGCCCTCAGCTGCAGGGAAGGATCTGGCTGGGATCCAGAGGGAAGGCCATGGCCTCTGCTGCTGCTGAGCATGTCCAATAGTGCAGGACCAGGTGAAACTCTGGGCAATATGTTTGTAGAAGTATTTGAGATAACTGCATTGTTCCACAGACTGAGCTGGATGCAAATGAAGTGAATTGGTGATGCCAGAATTAAAGAGTTTCCCTGGGTAAGGGAACTGTTGTGACATTATTTAGTAAGGAATCTTTTGAAAGCAGATATCTGTTGTGCCTCCACCACACTCCTCCTTCCAGGACCTGAAGCACTGGTGGTGTTTCTGCTCTTGCTTGCCTTTAAAAAAAAGCCCAAAGAAAACAGATTTTGGGAAGGATGTAGCAGGACCAGCTCAGTCCTTTGATGCAAAGGTGATTTAGTGACCATTGACTTTCCAGTAGGAGCTACAGTGAACTTGTCAGGAGTACTCAAGTTAAAATAGCGGGATGTCTTTTTTAATAAACAACATTAAGAATAAGAAAAAAAAATCTCTATGAGAGATGGTTTATTTACTTCCTCATTTGGAGACCAGTGTCGAACCCTCATCCAGGTCTCTCCACACTTTGTTCTCCTCTCTTCCCTGGAGCGTGTCCTGGGGCAGGCAGTGTTGGTGCAGGGAGGTTTTGGTGGAGGCTGGGTTTTTCTGCTGCCACCCAATCCACTTGTTGTCCAGGTGGGAACAGTCAGCCAGGCTGCATGTCCCTGGCCAGGCTGAGCCCATCTGCTGGAAGCACCAGGGCAGGAAGCACGATGGAAGGGGCAGAGGGCTCCCCACCACCCTCACAGGGAGGAATTCCATCCCGTCTCTCTCTGTACCACTCATCTCTCCCCAGACGGGGCGAGGCTGCTCTTTGCCCTGATGCTGGTGGAGTTCTCCTTCCCCAGTCCTTCCGCCCACGAGCCCTCTCCTTTCCAGGAAAGCGGAGTGGCCCGTGGCCCGCTGGCGCCGGGCCCGGCTCTCCCCACTCACGCACACGGGGCTGCTTTCCCTGCTTCCTTCACGGCAAACACAACCTCCTGCCGCCTCCACCGGGCCGTGTCCACTTTAAACCCCCTTTCAGAGGAAATCTTGGAACCACCTGCTGCGTTTCCAGCAACCCTGCCTTGGCTGGTTCAGCTCTGAGCTCCCGTGGCTGCTGCCAGAGGAGCCGGGATGTGGAGCAGGGATGAGCTCAGCGGTCCCCAAGGGGGATGTTGGGACTGGTGGGGATGTCAAGAGCCCTGGAATCCCCATTCCTACCGTGGGTCACCAAGGTGGCTGGGACAGGAGGAGCTGGGATTAGAGGTGGTGGGAAAGGGATCATTTTCAACGTGGTTTTGGAATGGAGGGGTTTGGAGTGCGCTTTCAGGTTTTGTTTGCTTTGGGCAAGAGCCCAACATGCTCTGGGGCAAGTGCTGCAGAGCTGAGGCTCAGCTCAGCTCCCTCCATCCCTCCATCATCCCTCTGTCCCTCCCTCCCCCCATGGTGACTTGGGAAATGGGACCCCACAGCCCTGCCATGGGGGGATCAGCCCTGTGACCCCTTTGGAGGCAGCAGGAGGATGCTCTCAGTGCTCTCTGGCTTTGGATGAGTTTTTGGAGGCTCTGGGTGCCAGGGTGGCACTGTTCCTCTGGGAGAGTTGTATCAGCCCCCCCTGGAGCAGGAACCTGCAGGAGATGGGCACTGGTGAGTGGGAATGCCAAACACCTGGGGGTGTGGAGGGATATGGGAACCACCTGGCCCAGCCCCCCAGGCCCAGCCGAGGATGCAGTGGGTGGGGGTCAGGCCTGGAAAGCTGTGTGAGCCACGGCAGAGCCAGGAGCAGCCCCTGCCCGGCCACGGCGTGGTGGGGACCAGCCCATTGTGGCACCCCGGGGTCAGGCTGTGCCTTGGGCTGGGCTTGGCAATCCTGAAATGGAGAGAGGAGGAGCATCGGGATCCCCTGGGAGCTGAAAGGTGCAGGGGAGGAGGAGCAGGGCTGGGCTCAGCTCTTGGGTGGGGGATCTGCAGGAGCCAGTTCCAGTGGGGATGAAGGCAGTCTTGCCCCAGTCACCCATGGAGTGAGGAGCTGTGGGCCCTTTGGGGTGCTGCGGGTGCAAGACAAGGCAGGGCCTTTGCTGGGCTCTCAAGGTACTGTATGTCCCTGTTCCCTCTGGGTCTGTGTCCAGCTTGCCTGTGCAGAGACCCCAGGCACGTATCCCTGGTGCCTGATGCAAAGGGGCCAGACCCATGCTGGAGTACAGGCTTTATTCCAACTAGCACTGAGACCCCCACGCAGCCGTGCCAGCCATGGGGGTGATCCCATCCTTCCTGGGAGCCCCCATCCTTGGCAGGAGCCCACACTCCTGTCCTGTCCATACACACCCACAGTCTTAGTAGGATACAGAGAGTACAGGGGTAATTAGAAAAAGGGGCTGTGCCCACCCTGGTGTCCGTGGGCTGAGCCAGCTGGGCCCTGCCCGAAGCCCTCTTTGGCCTCTGAGGTGGCCTCCATCACCTGGGGTGGGTTTGGTCCCTCCGAGGTCCTGCCCGGGCTCACCCGGTGCTGGAATCCTGCAGGTGAGGGACTGCCAGGGCTGCAGGGGTGAGGAGGTGGGGGCTGCTCTGGTCCCTCAGGGCTGGGGGGACAAATGCCCAAGGGAAGAGGTGCTTGGGCAGCAGTGATGGAGCTCCTGGTCCCGTGCAGCCTGGCTGGGGCACCGCATTGCCCAGTGCCACGTGCCGGGTGTGGTGCTGGGGCTGGTGATTGCTCCGCTGTCACGGTCCCGCCCTTTGCCCTCCCCGAGCCCATCACTGGCGTGGCCCCAGGTTTCTGATCTGCCCAAATCGAAACTCCATCGCTCCTTTCCCCGAAGGCCGAGCCCTGGGGGTGCCAGCCCTGTGTCCCCTGTGCCCCTGCTCACCCCGGCTGCTGCCCCAGCACCTCCAGCCCAGGGTCCCTGGCACCCACAGCCCAGCTGGGGCTGCCCCTGCCTGAGGTGGGGTCACACTCATGGAGGGCCACCCCATCACAGGGACACTGTGTCTTGCCATGTCTTGCCAGGGTGGACGTGGCCCTGGTGCCCCTCCTGCTGCAGGGAGCCCCTGGGAGGTGATGTGCCACCAGGGCTGGGGTATCTCCCATCGTGCATGTCCCCTGTAGGTCCCTGGGGACCTTTCCAGGCTCTCAGGCTTCCTGCCACCTGGATGGTGGCCCCAAGCACAGCAGGTCCCTGCGGGGAGCCTTCCCTTGTGCCCTCTCTGTCTTGTCCCTCACCGCAAAGGACAAGGCACACCGGGAAGGACCCTGTGTCACCCCCTGGCCATTGGGGCCACGCGGGAGCACCAGCGGGCAGGTGGGAGCAGAGGGGGTGTCACAGGTCGAGCCGGAAGGCCCCGAAGTAACTGGCGGCTGCGTCGTTGTAGTCGATGGCCAAGGAGGACACGGAGACGAAGAGCTCGTCGCCGGCCTTGAGCTCGAAGAGCCCGCCCTGGTAGAGCGCGTGCAGCCCGTAGTCCGCCTCGGGCGCCCAGCACTTGGTGCCCACGCCCTTGAGCAGCAGGATGGGCTGGCTGCGGGAGGGCTGCCACTGGATGCACTGCACGAGCTGCGGGCCCGAGTCCTGGGCGCCGGCGCTGCGGTAGCGGAAGTAGATCTGGGAGTACACGTAGTACTTGCCCGGCTGCTCGACCCGCAGCCGCCCGTCGCGGTAGGTGATGTTCTGCAGGTGGGAGTGCAGGGTGCTGTGCTCCCAGCGCGTGATGGCGTGGCGGCACGACTGCGACAGGTTCCCGAAGCGCTCCGAGACTCCTGGGGGAAGGGAGGGGTCACCGAGGGGAGAGACCTGGCAGGTTCAGGGGAAGGGGAGGGGGTGGCTCGAACTCTCTCCCAGTCTGGAGGAGTGGAGAAGATGGCTTTGGACTCGTCCCCATCTGCCACCCAACACCTCCTCCCATGCTGGTCCTTTGCCCTTTGGGAGAGGTTTCTCCCTTGTTCCCACCTCCGAGACCACTCAGTGCCCAGTGGGGCTCCCCATTTCCCTGTCCTGGTCCCCTGCCCTTCTGGGGAGTTGTCTCCCCTGTTCCCATCTTGGAAACCCACTGGAGCACACCGGGACCCCCTGACTCACCATCCTGGCTCAGGCTCTGCGGGCGGAGGGTGAGATGTGCAGAGGGCTTCCTGGCTGTTTTGGGAGGAACCTGCCCCTCTGAGGTGTTCAAGTAGCTCTGCCGGGCCTCTGTGGGAAAGGGACAGTCAGCTGTAGAGGACCAGGCGTGGGGACACCCAGCCCTGTGCCAGCAGGGCAGGGAAATGCCCCACTGACCCATCAGAGAAGAAGGTTATTCGGGGTCTTGTCAATCATTATCTAGTGTGTCTGAGCTGTCCCATGGCCCTGCTTCCCTGACTCCAGACAGATGGACATGGCTGTCCCTCCAGCCCATTCCTGGGATGTGTGCCCTTCACCACCCAGTGGAACAATCCTGATTCTCCCCTCTCCTGCCCAGCTCACAGCACCAGAGCCAGGGCTGGAGCCCATCAGCCCCCCACCCTGCTGACATCCCAGTGCATGCACGTGGATCCCAGCTCTGGCTGCCTCCCTGGAGCTGGGCCAGGACAGACTCACCCTTCACTGCGCTCCTGCGGAGGATGTTCTCTGTCACCTGGGCCACAGAGAGGAGAATGTCCCACGGTCAAAGGTGAAGCAGGGGTTCCCCACATCCCAGCTCCTCCTCCAAGCCCCTATCACCCTGTTTGTCACACTGTCCCTGTGCCCCACCACCTCCTTGCTGTGGAGGGCCTGAGTCCAGCCCCCTCCTCAGACCATCCTTGCCATTCCCCCCCTCCCAGCCCTGCAGTGAGGCAGATGGGCAAGCTGAGGCAGGGGGGTAGCCAGGAGCTCTCCCATCCTCCCCTGGTCCCAGGGCTCACCGTGGCCACGTAGGCTTTGATGGTGCTGGCCAGCTTGATACAGGTCTGGCTGCTGCTCAGCTCCTCCAGGCTGGAGCCCTCGGCCTGCTGATTGAGCATCTGCAGACACCGCAGCTCCTCCGCACTCCCCGGAGCCTGGGATTTCAGCTGGGATGGAAACAAACCGGGATGTCAAACTGGGATGGATGGGGGTAACAGTAGGGGATCCCTGTGGGGTGTGGACGCAGGATGGCCACCTTCATCCTGGCTCCTCCAGCATCAGGGGGGCTCAGAGAACAACCCTGAGCTGCCCCAGTCCCAGAGCTGGCGGTGGGACCGACGGCACCACCGGGATGCAAACCCAGCTGTGTCTCCTGTGTGGGATGGAGGGGGCAGTAGGAGGCTGGGTGGATCCGAGTTCAGTCAAAGTTCTGTTTTTTTGTGGATTGGACATGCTAAATCTCATCTTGTCCTCCCATGATCCCTTGCAGAAGCCCATCCCAGTGCTTCTGGAAGCACTCCAGCCCCTTTCACGGAGTTCCAGCTCCAAGCGGGAGGAGGAGGAGGAGGCAGGACTCAAGGACTCTCACAAGGCACAGAGCACCAAGTAAATAACCCAAAATTCCCATTATCCATCTCCTTTCTCTCTCCCTCCCACCCCTGGGGAAAATGAGGCTTCTCCAGCTCCAGGAGGTGCTCAGTGCTCTGGGGCAGGAGCTGCCTCACCAGCCTTGGCTCTGTGGATTCCGGGAAGCACGAGCTGCTGCAGGAGGCTGGACGTGCCTGGGCAGCCAGGGCCACGCTCCTCCTGCTTCCCGACCCGGGCTGGGATTGCAAAACAAGCTCTGGCACAGCTCGGCTCTTCCAGCTGCCGAGCTGGGATCCTGAGCAGTGCCAGGGCAGCTCAGGCAGGTCTTGGGCACTTCCCTGTCCTGGCTTATGGTTTGGGATGGGAAGCCTTCCCTTCCCCAGCTGTCCCAGGGCTGTCCCGGCTCCACTCTGGCCGTGGTGTGGCTGTGGTGACCATCACACCTGGTGGCCACCCTACCTATTGGCTACCCTACCTATGCCACCTGGGTGGTTCCCAGGACAGAGCTGGGAGGCCTTGGGTGGCCATGTCGTCACCTGGGGCTTGGCCACCTCCAGCACCCCACATGTTCCCCATGTCCTGGCTTGCTCTGAACACCCCCAGACCCCTGTACTCCACAGCTGTGGGTACTCACTGCCTCACACCAGGATGTGCTCACCTTTGGGATCTACATCCCATCTACATGTGGATATACCTCTATATCAACAGAACATTGGGATCAATACAGCCTCTAGATCTGCAGAATATTGGGATCAGGATAGCCTCTCTATCAGCAGAATATGGGGATAAATACAGACTCTAAATCCATAGAATATTGGGATCAATACAACCTCTAGATCTGCAGGATACTGAGATCAATACAGCCTCTAGATCCACAGGATACTGGGATCAATACAGACTCTGTATCTGCAGGACAGCCACGTGGTGTCAGATTGAAGGGATTAGGGTTCCTTTCTGCGCTCTTGTGCCCTGGCTGGACCTGCCAGGGGGGCACAATTCCCTACGGATGGGCTGCAGGTGACCCCGGAGGGTGTTCCCTGCACACACCTGGCCGCCCAGGTGGGGGCCGGGTGGTGCCAAGACAGTGAATCCCGAGGGATGGGGCTGTTCCCGCGGCATCCCCGCGGTGGGTGCGTGTTCGGGCAGGGCACACCCGTGCGGCTCCCCCGGGCTGCCCGGAGCGCTGACTATGGAGTGTTCCCGCGGAACCGGGGTCAGCCCGGCCCGGGAAGGTGTTGGAGCGAGTCCAGAGGAGGCCACGGAGATGCTCCGAGGGCTGGAGCCCCTCTGCTCTGGAGCCAGGCTGGGTGAGCTGGGGAGGTTCAACCTGGAGATGAGAAGGCTCCGGGGAGACCTGAGAGCCCCTTCCAGGACCTAAAGGGGCTCCAGGAGTCTGACTCCCTGTTCCCAGCACAGATCCCAGGAGGGATCCAGTGACTGGCCGCTAAAATCAGCCCCAGTCGATCCATTTCCACGGTTTCCCCCTCCCTTCAGCTCTTCCCTGGGGCTCTGTCTCCCTCATTCGCCCTCTCTCTCCACCGCCTTTCATGTGGCGCCTTTCATGTAAATCCCTCACAGCGGGACCACACGTGACTCGGGGATGGAAACAAAGCCTAAAGGAGGGCTGGAGCCCCCTCCAAAGGATGCTCCAGACAGGCTGTTTATTCCTCCTGCATCCGTGGGCAGGGCTTTTCCCCTTTCCCCGTCTCCGGTGTGGTTTGTGGAATGTCTGGCACTGCAGGACTCGATTGTTGCTGGACCCTCAGGGATGAGGGTGCCCTCCATGGCAGCCCCGAGTTTCCCTCTCCCCGTGGATCTCTGGTCTGGTGTTTCCCTTACATTGCTTGGGGGTTGTTGTGGGTTGGAATCAGCGGCTGGCGGGAGCTGGGGGAGCTGTTGGCAGGATCATGGCCAAGTTTGGGAGTGGTTTGGCCCGAGTGACCCCACGGGAGATGGGAATGGCGGGATCTCAGCACTGTTGTTGGGATTGTACAGGAGCAAGAGCAGAAGAGCTGCTGGAATGGGGAGGTGGTGCTGGAATGGGGGGTTCCAGCATTTCAAGAAGTGGGCGAGGAGGATTTGGGGTCCTGAAGTGTGGAAGAGTTGGGAATGGGGGAAGATGAAGCAGGAACCAGAGGTCGGTGGGGCCTGGAGCCCAAGGAAATCCCCCTACATCCCCCTTTGGGGTTGGAGACTCTGATGGGATCCCAGGGCAAGGCCCCCCTCCCAGTGCGGACCGTGAGCTCCAGGCGGAGCCTAGGACAAAGGCGCCGTCCCTCCACATCTGGATCCGCGACAGAGTCCACCCCTCCGCCCTCGCCTCCACATCTGGATCTGCAGCTCCGGGCGGAGCTCAGGCAATGTTCTGTCCACCCCCATTCCACATCTGGATCCGCGGCTCCTGGGGGGCCCGGGGCAGCGCCCACCCCCCTCCCCCGCCGCCACATCTGGATCCTCGGCGGGGCAGCGCCGGTCTCTGCCGTGCCCGGCGGGCAGAGGCGCGGAGCGGGGAGCGGGCAGAGCCCTCCTGCAGCCACCGGAACTCCCTCCGGGTGGAGAAACCGCGCCGCCGGTCCCGGCCCCCCCCCGGGAAAACGGGACGGGGCGTCGCGGGGCAAAGCTCACCTTGGAGATGGCCATGGTGAAGTAGACGAAGAGGACGGTGGTGGAGGCGATCTGCACTGCCAGGATGGCCATGACAGCCACGCTGCCCCACAGGGGACCGCACCGCCGCCGCCGCTGCCCCCGCACCGCACCGGGGCCTCCGTCCGGACCGGGAGCGGGGCCGGGACCGGGACCCTCCGCCAGCATGGGCGCCTCCGAGCCGCCGCTGTCGGAGCGCAGGTAGTGCCCGGCGCTGGGCGGGTGGGGGGCCATGGCCCGGTCCCGCTGTCCCGGTCCCGCTGTCCCGGTCCCGCTGTCCCGGGCACCGAACGGCGGCGGCGGCAGCGACAGGCGGGGGGCGGGGCCGATGGGCGGGGGGCGTGTCTGGGGGCGGGGCCTGAGGCAGGAGGGGCGGGACCTCCGCGGGGACCGAGCGGTGACACCGGGACCGACGGTGACACCGAGACTGACGGTGACACCGAGACTGAGCAGTGACGCGGGGACCGACGGTGGCCCCGGGGCTGCGGCTCAGGGGGCAGCGGGGCCCGGGGAACAGGGTGAGGCCGTGGAAAGAGTGACTCTGGGCCCTTTTCTATCTCCTTCCCCGAGCACTCCAGGCTATGGTTGTGGCAGCAGATGCTCTTGGTGGCCCCTGGGCGCCCCTGACTCCATGCATGGCCCTGTGACCTGCCCTAATGACCTCCCAGATGCGGGAAAGGGAGTAATTAGTCGCTTTATCAGCTTGTATTGCTGTTGTAAAAGCCTTTGGCCAGGTTGTACAAATGCCTGTGGATCATGGATCTAATCAGTTGTTGGACCTGTGTTTCCAGTGCCTCTGAATATCTCCAGTGGGCTGTGATGGGCAAAGGCAGAGGATGGGCAGGAGGCTGGTGATTTTCTTGGTGTGTTCTGGATAGCAGAAAGGTTTTGCCTCTTGCTCTTTAAACAAAAAAGCCACAGTGCTGTAGTTTGGGGCCTGCACTCCCCTGTTCCCCATCCCCTGTTGAGCTGCACTGGAACCTTGCTCAGATCAAAGCTGCAGGAGCAGGGAGGAGAAGGGAGGACCCAATGTCTCCTCCAGGAGACATGGAGAGGGATGCTGGAGGGCTGAGGACTGATTTATTACCAGCCAAAGCCTCTCAGCTGGGGCTGCTTGCTGGCCTCTCACAACTACCACCTCTCTTTTCCAGCAGGAAGGGGCTGATGGACTCCTTGGGGAAATCCTGCCCGTTCCACCTCATGTTGCTTCACTCTGGATGCTCCTGAGACCAGGGGATCTTCCACCCCAAAGTCTCTGCCAAGCCCATGAGTGTTTTTCCCCCCTTCTCTGCCAGCTCAGTGTGTACCCGGTGCCCAGAGCTCGTTGCTGCTCTGTTGTGGCACCATCCCTGCCCTGGCAAGGAGCTGCTTCCCCAGGTGAGATGCCTTCCATGGAATTTGGGGAGGAAACTGAGTTTGGGGGGAAATGAAATTCTGTCTGAACAATGCGATGACAAATAAACCCTCCAGGTTGTTCTCATGAAAAAGGCTCAGGACCTGCAGAATTGGGTGAAGAGGGAAGAGCTGGAAAAGGCCCATCTGGGAAACAAACTACTTTCCAACCTGGTCTGGAGGAAGGTGTCCCTGCCCATGGCAGGGTGTTGGAACCAGATGAGCTTTAGGATTCTTTCCAACCCAAACTGTTCCATGGTTCTGTGGTTTGCAGTGTGGGACGTGGATGTATGTTCTAAAGCAACTTGGGACTGCTGATCCCTGTGCTGCTCCATCAGACGGGGCAGGGGCACAGCTGGGCTCTGCCAAAGAGAAGAGGGAAGCCAGGAGCGACCAGAACCTGGAGCTTGGAGCTGCTCTCCAGGCCTTGGAGAAGGGAGATTTGTCTGTGAGCCAGGGCAGGACCAGAACTGGAACTGTGCAGAGAAAACTGGGTGGGAGCCAGGGAAAAAAAATGCCTCGGTCCTGGCTGAGGAGTTGTTTTTCATTTCTCATGTTTCCTGGTCCTGCACTGGGAGAGCTGGGTCAGTGGAGCCTGGAAATCTGTTTCCTCAGTGCTCCGTGGTGCAGAGCAAGTGCAGGGGAGCGGGAGAGGGGTTTGTTGGAATCTCCCAGTGGCATCAATGAGGGGCTGGGACGGGGGAAACCCAGCAGGGGATACCTGCATGGAGATGGGAATTGTATCTCTGGGATTTCCCAGCCTGTCCCTTGGACTCGCTTCAGTTTGCTTCAGGCAGGAGGGTAGAATGTGCCATTTACGTTATTTTCCATGTTTTATGGAATGTCTGTGGGTTGGCCAAGGCTGGACCCCCCTGAGCTGGGTCACTGTAAGACATCCCTCCCTGGGGAAGCCCCAGAGCCAGGTCTCAGCTCCCCGTGGCTGCTCCTTTAAGCAAAGCCCAGCCTGGCACTGGCTCCAGCAGCTGAGGATTCCAAACGTGTTGGCCACACGACCCTGATCCTCTGTCAGGAAACAGCAGCCCCTGGGACGTGGAGTCATCGTGTGCGGCTCAGGAGCTGCTGTAACCTCCCTGGAATGTGCCCTCAGATGTTTGTCTTTCGATTTGAATCGATCAGTTCCTGTGCTGAAGTGTTTTTTCGGGGAAAAACCTCTTCCCCATCACACCCTACCTCCAACAGGAAGGTCAGTGGATCCAGCTGATGCACAGGATCAACTCACCCTCTGGAGCAGTGAAGCACCCACTGGGAACCCTGCCCTGGGCTCAGCCCTGCCCTGCCCTCTCCTGGTGCCAGGGACCAGCCTTGCTCCCATATCCAGCTTTATTCCAAGGCCCAGCTTCCCCCTCTCCTGTATAGGCTCTCAGAGGGCCTTAGTTCCATGGAATCAGAATCCCAGAATGCTTTGGGTTGGAAGGGACCTTAAAGTTCACCTCGATCCACCCCCTGCCACGGACAGGGACACCTTCCACTGTCCCAGGTTGCTCCAAGCCCTGTCCAACCTTGCATTGAACAATTCCAGGGATGGGACAGCCACAGCTTCTCTGGGCAACCTGTGCCAGGGCCTCCCCACCCTCACAGGGAATTTTTTCCCAATATCCCATCTAATCCTGCCCTCTGACAGTGGGAAGCCATTCCTCCTTGTCCCATCACTCCAGCCCCTTGTCCAAAGTCCCTCTCCAGCTCTTGTGTGAGGGCAGAGACCCTCTGCCTTGTCTCCCAGGAATCTGGAGCTATGTGGAGGCTGGGGAGGCTGATTTCAGCGAAACTATGCTTGGGGCTGACTCAGAGCCTTCCACTGCAGGTTTCCTGCTGGCTCAGCACTTTTCCATCCCCTCCTCCCTCCCCCTCCCCAGAATTCTCTCTCCAGCTCCTTGTGAAGACGCTGAAGTCCATTCACTGCCTGTGGAGCTGAGAGAGGCCCCTTGACCTTCTTGGGGAAGCTCACAGGGTGGAGGGGGAGGGTGTGTGTTCCCTGCCTGCCTCTGTCTTACAGAAACACTGTTTTGGGGTGAACCTTGCACATTTTGGGTTCATGCACACCTGGCTTTGGCTGCGCAGTGTGGAGAGGCAGCAAGTTTTGGCCCCTATCTCTCAGCCTTTGGGCTCCTACAGGGAGGAATCAGCCTTGAGGATCCAGCCTCTTTCCCCCAAACCCTGGCAGCACCCCCAGCCCTTCCCTGAGTCTCTCCCCACCTGGGGCTGGGGCCAGGTTTTGCTTGTCCCTGATGTTGTGGGGAGGGTGGAGGCCTTCCCTGCTTGGTGGCAGCAGGACATGTCCAGAGCTGCTGCAGCCCCACACATGGCAGGCCCCAAAGGGGACAGGATGGGTTGGCTTGGATGGGCACAGGCTGGTGCTCACAGCCCTGGCTCACCTCAGGCTGGGAGTGGGACCTGGAGATTGGGAGCCAAGGGAGGGAAGGGAGGAGCAGGGACGTTCCATGGTGATCCAGGGCTGCTCCTGTGCTGCTTGTGGGAGTTTGGGTGGAGGAGCCCTGTGAAGCCCCAGACCAGCAAGGGATAGAGAGCCCTAATTGCTGACCCAGCAACACCCTCTGGAACATCCCAAGGTGGGTCAGCAGCTCCAGATGCCCTGGCCAGGACCATCCCCGGGCTCCAGCTGGGCATGACTTTCTGCTGCAGCTCCTTCCCTGGGTTGGGCTCCCTCATCCCAGCGCTTCAGCTCGCTTCTCGGACAGCTGATCTCCTCGCTCCCTCTAGTGGGATGGCTGCGTGGCTCCTGCCTGAGTCCGCGTTCCTCCTCTTGAGGTCCTTCTGGAGATCTCTGGCCATGCTGGGTCTGGTCCCTGCTCCATCCCCATCCCTGCAGCCACGCTCCCCTCGCTGGTCCTGGAGGGGTCACGGAGGGAGCAGAGACACCCACGAGACACCCCAAAAGCTTTGTGTGAGGCTTTTTCGGGTGTGGTGCCTCCGTCCTACCCCCAGCCCTGCTCTCCCTGATACCAGGAGGTGTGAATTCATCCTGTTCCCAGCTGCAGCCACATCAGATGTGTGTCCTCTCTCGCCTGCCCTGGGAGCACCCGACGCCACTGCTTCCATCCACATCGCTGATCCCACCACAGCATCTCCCCTCTGAGGGGGTGCAGGCTGCCAAGCCACCCTCCTCCAGGGGAAAATGTCCCTCTGGATAGGGTCCAAGGGGACCCAGAGGTGATGGATGTGGAGTTTGTTGTGTTTCTGAGGTTGCTGGGGGTCAGGAATAGGTGTCAGGAAGGGTGTCTGAGCCTGCCTTCAGCAGGAAGATCTCCTGCACCAGTTTGACTTGGCTGAGGTTTTTATGTCTGCATCTAATCTATATATCTGTATCTATCTATTTATGCCTATATTTCTTTTTATATCTATATCTAATCTATATTTATTTGTCTATGTATCTTGAGGGTTGGTTTCCCAGCCTCCAGCCCCCAAAAGCATCACGTAGGCTTTTCCTGCCACGAAACATCTGTTTGTGCCCTCCTCATCCTCCCAGGCTGCCCAAGTGATGGAAACCACCCAGGGAAGGAGAAGAACATCCTCTCCCTCCCCACCTGTTCCCCACGGAACATTCCGTGATGAACCTCCTGGGGGAGCAGCGGGATCTTTGTGTCCCAGCCGCGGTCTCATCTTTCCCACAGCCCTCCCTGGAGCTGAAGGACTGCTCCAGGAAATGATTAATTCCCAGTTTTTGTTGCTGTGGTGGGATCCTTTGCCCCGTGAAGGACTCCCGGGGGAAGGGGATGGGGTAAGGCCGTTCTCTTAGCGCCTCTCTGAAGGGATTTGGGGGTTTTGCACCGTGACAGGTAGAGCTGGGACAGGGGAGGGGGGGGCAGGAGAAGGCAGCGCCCAGGGCCTTGGGGGGCGTTCTGTGGGTTGGGTTTGGATGTCCTGGGGAGGGCAGAGGAGGGAAGGAGAAGAGAAAGAGAGGAAGGGAAGAGGAGGAGGAGGAGAGGAGGAAGAGAGGAAGACAGGAGCGGGAGATGAGGGGAGGGAGAAGAAGACAGGACGAGAAAGACAGGACGAGAAAGACAGGACGAGAAAGGAGAGAGAGACGAGGAGGACAGGAAAGAAGAGAGGAGGAGGGGAAGAAGGTAGGGAAAGGAGGGAAGGGGAGAGAAAGGGAAGAGGAGGAAGAATGAGGGAGGGGGGCGCGGATAGGGAAGACTAAAAGAGGAGAGGAGGAGAGTAGAGGAGGGGAGGAGGAGGAGTAGAAGGGGAGGAACCGCCCGGAACCGCCCGGTCCCGCCCCAACGGACCTGCCGGTGTCTCGTGGCGGAGCAGCCGCTCCACCGGTCCCGCAGATGTTCCCCTTCCCCCTCCTCCCCTTCCTCCGCCTCCTCCTCCTCCTCCTCGCCCCCGGCAGCGCGGCAGCCGGCCCGGGGATCACAGGCGAGTTTCTGTCCCGGCAGGAGCGGGGGGGGGAATACCCGGGACACCCCCCCCCCCCCCCGGGCCGCGTCCCGCGTGGGGGTCGGTCACGCTCCGGGGGTGCCCGTGGGTCTCACCCGGCGCGTTCTGGGGAGGCTTTGCTGAGTTGGGACGAGTTGGGGGCAGGCTCGGGGGGGACAGGCGGGCGGGGGTCCCTCCCGGCCCTGGGGGCGCGGGGGCTGCTCCTGGCGCCTGTGTTCAGGAGCCAAGGCGAGCCCAGGCTCGGGCGCGCCTCAATCCCCGAGAAAAGCTTTTAGAGGAAGGTCGGGGAGGGACTTGCGGCTTTTCTCGGCTCTCGGCGCGTTTTCCTGGCAGGGCCCCGCGGGCGGTGGCTGTGCCCGGGGGGTCTGTGCCCCTGCAGCGTGGGAGGAGCGTTTCGGTGTCGCTGCCTAAAGACTTGGGGGTGTTGGTGGGTGAGAAGCTCAACGGCCAAGGGGGCTGAATCCTCACAGCGTGGGCAGCAGGGCAGGGGGAGATTCTGCCCCTCTGCCCCCCCAGGTGAGACTCCACCTGCAGAGCTGCCTCCAGCTCTGGGAACAACATCAGGAGGATGTGGAGCTGTTGATGCGAGTCCAGAGGAGGTCACAGAGATGCTCCAAGTGCTGGAGCCCCTCTGCTCTGGAGCCAGGCTGGGAGAGCTGAGGGGTTCACCTGTAGAAGAGGAGGCTCCAGGGAGACCTGAGAGCCCCTTCCAGATCCTAAAAGGACTCCAAGAGAGCTGGAGAAGGACTTGGAACAAGGGCCTGGAGTGACAGGGCAAGAGGGAATGGCTTCTCCGTGAAGGCAGGTTCAGATGGGATATTGGGAAGAAGTTCCTCCCTGTGAGGCTGGTGAGGCCCTGGCAGAGGTTGCTTCCCAACACTCCCCATCCCTAGGAGTGTCTAAGGCCAAGCTGGTCAAGGCTTGGAGGAACCTGGTCTAGTGGAAAATGTCCCTGCCCATGGGACTGGATGATCTTTAAGGTCCCTTTCACACTGTTCCCTGATTCATGATTCTATAAATAATTCCCTCCTCAGCACCGCTGTTTGTGAGCAGCTGAGCCAGGAAGGGTTCCTGTGGCACCTCCCTCCTCCCAGGTGGATGAAGTGGGCTCTCTGTAGCCGTGGAGTCACTCCTGGTTTCTCTTCCAGCCCGCACACTCGCTCCGTGCTACTCGGCGGACCTCAGGCCGGCCTCGGGGCGCCTGGTCTCGGCCGTGGGCTGCACCGTGCTGCTCACCGTGCCACGGCTGCGGGTGGGCAGGCTGGTGTCCTGGGAGTACAGAGCTGGCACGGAGCAGGGAGTCATCCTCCGCTATGCCTTCGATCGGCCCCCCAGCACGTCTCGCCCCTACGAGAACCGCACGAGGTTCAACGAGACGAACCTCTCGCTGCAGATGGTGCTGCGGCGCGACGACGGGCGGCTGTACCGCCTCAGCTCCGAGGAGGAGGCCACAGACTGGTTCCAGCTGCTCGTTGTTGGTGAGTTATGCCATGGCCAACCCTCCTCCGTGGCCTGGCATCTGTGGAGCCACAGGTTTGCCCGTTGACAGTCCGCCTATCTCTCCTAGAACCGCTGTCTGAGCCAGAAATCGTGGGCAACTCGTCGGTGAAGGCGGGGGACGACACCAAACTGGTCTGCAACGTCCTGAAAGGGAAGGCAGACTTGTACTGGTGGAAGAAAAACGGGAAGCTGCTGCTGGGAAGTGAGCACATCCAGTTTGAGGACAACACCACACTCTGCATCGTCAGGGCGTCGATGAGGGACAGCGGGTACTACGCGTGCGTGGTGCGCAACGCCGTGAGCCAGAACGAGACCTCCTTCCTGCTCCAAGTCCACAGTGAGTGGGGGCTCCTCTCCCAGGCCCAGGGAAAGAAACTGGGGGGGGAAAACAGCCCCCAAAGAGGGATCCTCCCTCTCTCCTGCTGCCCCAGCCCCCCTGTGCCTCGTGGGCAGGTTCTTGCTTGGAGGGTGGGGGGCTGAACATCCTGTGGTGCGGAGGATGAGGGTTCTCCCCTTTGCAGACTCGGCGAACGTGGTGCTGCCCGTGGTCCTGGCGTGTGTGGTGGTCGGCTGCCTCGCAGGTGGGTGCTGGGGAGGAGCTGGTGGGTGCTGGGCTGGCTCTTTACCCTGCCTGCTGCCTGGCTGGTGGGTGATGTGGCAGGTGCTGTGCACCAGGAGGGCACCGTGTGGCCTTGCCACCCTAAATCCTACAGGCAGGGGCTGGGCTTTGTCCCAGCTGTTGTTCCAAGCAGGGTGTCCCCACTCCGAGTCCCCTTTTGCCTCCCTTTGCCTCCCTCCTCCTGGGCACAAGAGGGAAGGTTGTCATGAAAACCCCTCCTGCACGTCCAGAACAGGCAGGAGGTTATATTTGACTGTCCTGATCTGGGCCAGCCTCCAAGAAAACCCCACGGTTGCCAGGGGAGGTCACACATCCCTTCTAGGGTGACAACCCTGAGCCCCCCACCGTGCTCTGCTGTGGTTTTCTGCCCTCAGAAGGGAAATGTGCTTCCAGTCTTGCTTTTCCTCCTTTTTTGGAGCTGGAGAGTGTGTCATCCCATCCTAACCCATCCCATCCCTAATCCCTGGCGAAGTGGGGATTTTAATTCTCAGATTTCCAACTGAGGGAAAAAAAAAAAACCAAACAAGAACCCCCTGCAAGCCTGGACCTGGATATGGTGGTTTGAATGGAGTGGGAGGTTCTCCCTGGGGGTTGTAGGTGCTTTTTGTTATTGCACAAACATTTCAGGTTTTTCCTGTGAAAAGCCTGTGGGCCCTGGGGAGGTGCTGGAAGAGCTCCTGGCTGTGCTCCTGCCCTGCTCATCCCATCACACTCCCTTTGTCCCTGCTCACACGTGGCCAGGGCTGGTGGCCGGTCCCCTCCCTGGCTGCTGATGGGACTGGGACATGTGGGGCACTGTGGGGTTGGGCAGGGGGGTCTCCCCCATACCCCAAACCCCAGCCCTGCATTGGGAAGGGCTGGTGGATGCTCCTGGGTTGAGGTTTCCCAGCTGGAGCACCATCTCCAGGGTGTTTAATGGAGATGGGGATGATGGGGCTTGGAGCAACTTGGTCTAGTGGAAGGCCCCTGCCCATAGCAGGGGTTTGGAACTGGATGGGCTTTAAGGTCCCTTCCAATCCAAACCATTCTGGGATGATGCTGATGGCTGCTTTTATCCCCAGGTATCTTCGTCTGGTGCAGGGAAATGGAGATGCCATTTTTGCTCTGTAGGTAAGATGCCTTCAGCCCCCTCCTAGGGGTGGCCCTGCTTCTCCAGCCAAAATTTACTCTCTACAAGCCCAAGTTTGTCCTTGGCTGGATCTGAGCAAGCTGGAGAAATGGGGGAGCTTGGAGTGCTATCCCAGCCTCTCCTGGTAAGAGGCAGGGGAGGGGCTGCTCTCCCCACTCTGTCCTCCTCTGTTTAATCCCCACTGGGATTTACTCTGAGGTTTATTCTGGAAATATTCTTGATTCCCAACCCCAGAGCCTGATGCTCCTGGTTATCTTAGCTCTGGAACACGCTCTTTAATGGGTGGGTTTTGGAATACTCCAGAGATTTCTGGGAAGCGAGCGAGTCTTGAAATGTTCTCAGAAATTGCTCAGTCTGTGTGACCACAAACACACTCAGGCTGTTAACTAGAGCTTCCTGGAGGGTAGTGGGTCCCTAAGGATGGAAAACCCATCCCACATTGCTGCTGGTTGAAAACAAGAGAGCTCTCAGGTGTCTTGTGCAGCCAGGTGGGTCCCAGGTAACTCCTCCCAGGGATAAATTGGCCAAGGCATCTCCTGGAGTTTGGAGCAGAGCGGAATTCCAGACCTTCTGGCACTACCACTGCCAGCATGGGACACCCTGAGCTGCTTGAGGCCTCAGAAGGGTCCAAGTGAGCAGCAGATGGAGGATCCATGCCCAGGACATGGCTCAGATGAGAACCTTTCCTCTCCTTGCAGGTAGAGCTGCCTCAGCTGTTCCCTCGCTGCCCTTCCCTGATGATGGATGTTGCTGGGAATACCGGGTGTTCCATCCAGTCCTAGCCTCTCCTGGGCTCACCTCTGAAGTGTTCAAGCTGCTGACACCCACAATTTTTTTGGAAAACACCGGCTTGGACTGTTTGTGTTGTCCTGCTCTTTCCCAGGGCCCCTCGTGCATCTCTGGGGGGAAGGTGGGCACAGCTGTGCCTGCTCCATCTCTCCATCCCTCTCCTGGCTTCCTCCAGAGGCCTGGATAGGCTTATGGCTCTGGAAAGAGCCACCATCCACACTGGGCAGATCCACAGTCCTGGGGATGCTGGGAAGTGCTGTGTTGGTGCCAGCCCTGCTGTGCCAGGGGCACTCTGTGGGCTTTCCACTCCATTTGTCCCTCAGAGGGAGGAAAAAGGGCAGGATTTTGCTGTGTGTGCATCCAGGAGGGGAGGGAGGCAGTGGAAGGTGGCAGGGAATGGGGGAACAGCAAAGGAGTTCAGTTCTCAAAAGCAAATCCCAAAGAAATCCCTGCTGCTGGATGATGTTGAGATGCTCCTGAGCCCATCTCTGTTCTCCTTGGGCTCTGGCAGGATCTGGGGACAGCCCTGAAGACATCCCCTCCTCTTCCCACCACGAGCCAACTGGGTTGGCTGTGTGTCAGTGCCAGCTTGTGCTTCCTGTTTGCTGCTCCAACAAGTGAGAGCAGCCTTGGCCAGGTCGGATGTGGCCAGGTCAGCCTTGCCTGTCCCCTCCTGTCCTGGAATGGGTGTTGGGTGTCCTGGTCACTTGTGGACCTCTCTGTGCCCTGAGACACTGGTTCAGGGGGGTGTTTCTGTGCTGGGGTCTTGCCTGAAGAACTGCAAGAGTTTTCCTGGCCAGGGCAGGGGAGTTTCCCTCTCCCCAGAGTTATCCTTTCTCAGAGAACAGAGCTTCTCCTGGGAGAGGCTCAAATCCCATCCCTGAGCTCTCCTACACCTCTTTCCATGGAGCAAAGTGGCAAACTGTGGGAGAGATCACTGGGATAGGCTCTCAGCCTGGGGTTTCTTGGAGCGATTCAAGGAAGCAAAAGAGTTTGTGTGGTTTGAGGTTCCAACCCTGTTGAAACCTGCTGCAGGGCAGGTTGTCTTGTTCCTTGTTGCACTTGCAGGTGTGAAATGCAGTCACACAGTTTTACAAAAAGCACTTTTCTAAGTGTTTCAGGGAGTTGTCTGCAAATAGTTTTGGAGACTTTGTGGTGTTTTTTTTATAGTGTCTGTTGCTGCTAATAAATGCGTGTACGCTATCCCAGTGGATATCCCTGTTATCACACGTCATCCCTGTGAGGTTTAGGGCTGGGAAATGCCCCCTCGGGGTATCTGGAGCCTGTGGTAGCAGTGGAATGTGCTCCCTGTGCTCCCCCATGTGGGTGTCAGCCCTTGGGGGTGAGTTGCAGCTGGTGGCAGACCAGGGAATGCTGGATTTATCCTGTTGTCCAGCTCTGCTGTGCTGGGAAGGGCATTTGCTGCTGCTGTGGGGTTCCCGTATCCCCACCCTTTCCCTCACCCAACCCCTGTGGCAGTGACAGCCTGAGGGACTCAGCTGGGGTTAAAAACAACCCAACAACTCTGCTTCAAATCCGGGTGAGGGTATTTTTAACCTGTCTGAGTTCCCTGAGTCATGGAGACCTGGCACGACCCAGGGAGGAGCCGCTTCCCAAGGAGCTCGGCTGGGGCTGCCCCAGGGCTAACCCGGGGAAGGGGGGATTTTTGGGGAGGTTTCACCTTTGGGGTTCATCTGGTGGCCTTTGGGATTGTGGTTAGCAGCTGTTTGTGGCCTGAAAAGCATGTCTGGGCTGTGGGAAACACCTCAGTGCATTGGAAAGAGCCCCTGGGAAAGGCTGAGTGTGAAGTGTATAAAGTGCTGAGTTTAAATGTGCCCTGGGTAAATAAATCCCTGTGTTTGTATCCTGGAGTGTGTCAGGTGTGCTGGGATGTACTTGGGGAAGAGACCTTGGCAGCATCCATCTCCTCCCATCCTTGTTTTGTGCCTTTGTGTCCTTTCTCCACCTTTACTACAGGGAAAGCCAGTGGGAGTTTCAGGTTACTACAGGATTACTCACAACTCACGTCTGTATTTCATGATCCCTCCGTGTGTGTCTGTGATTAATCACTTACACAAATACTTATATATAGGTGTTACTGGCAGTCTCACCAGTGGAGTGCTCATCCAACCACTCCAGGAGCCAGGCCAATTGTTGCTGGACAAAGTCTCCTGCAGGATGATGCATTTTGGAATCTGGAGTCAGGCCACCACCCCCGAGCAGGGTCGCAGCTCAGGTAGAGAAATTCCTGCAGGGAGAGGCTGGTCTTGGGTGGGAAGTGAGTGATTTTTGATACTGTAGTGATACGAGGGGGTGCAGGATATCACTCCTTGGAGCAGGTCTTTCTGTTTCACCCGGAACCCCCTCTCAGATAATCTGATTTCTTGTTTTTCTCGGACCCATTTCTGCTTTCCGGGGCCCTTTCTCTCATCCTCCAGCTGGAACAGCCAAGACCCTTTGCCGCTTCCTGCTTTTCCAAGCTGTTTTCTGCCTTTCTAAACTCAGTTTCCCTTTTCCAAACGATGACTGTTGTTGCTGTTTTTTGGTTTGGTGCTCCTCGGGGTGTCTGGGGCTGATCTCCAGCACCCAAGTGGCACTTCCCGGATGCATCCTCAGGGATGTGCTTGGTCCCCAGGCTGGCAGTGCCCTGGCTGCCAGACCCCTCATCATCCAGGCATCTCAGCAGGCATCTCCTGTCGGGTTTTTTCCTGTGGCAGCCTTCGTGGCTGTTCCATCAGCTGCTCACACAGCTGGCACGCATCGCTGGCACCAAGTCCTCGGAGCAGGTTTTTCCCGGGATGGGGCGTTGTGTGGCCGTGGACACCAGCAAAGGGCCACGGGGATGATCCAGGAGCTGAAGGAGCCCCTGTCGGAGGGGAGGATGGGAGAGCTGGGGGAGGCTCAGGAGTCTCATCAAGGGGGATAAATATCTGAAGGGGGTTGTAAAGGAGAGCGAGACAGAATTTTTACTGGTGCCACTGACAGACCAAGAGGCAGTGGGCACATTAATAAGGAAATTCACCCCACATACAAGAAAACTGCCTTACTGTGAGGGTGACTAGGAGATAACATGGATTGTCCAGGGAGCTTGTGGCATCTCTGTGCTTATCAGCATCCAAAAACCGCCTAGCCACAGTCCTGAGCAGCCACATGCCCTCAGCAGGTCTGCTCTAGTCTGAGAGATTAAATCAGCCACTGTTTTTTTTTTTTTTTTAACCTTAATGATATTACAGGAAGGCCGGGGACTGCTGACAAGGGCTCAGCAAACACAGAGTCAATAAATGAATCAAATTTACTGTTCCCAGGGCGACAGGGCAGAAGGCTCAGGGGTGTACAGACATGGCCCAGGGCCTCCAGGGAAGCTCCTTTCCATCCAGCATTAATCAGAGATTCTTATAGGAGGGAATCACAGGTGCCAGCAAGAAGCTGAACATGACATGGAACATCCTGAGGGTGTTTTGGAGGCCCTTGGGAAGTCTGAGAGTTAATTCATCCCTGACTCTCTCCGTTGCCCCATTTGCTCCGTGCAATTAGCAGTTGGCAATTAGCTGGTGCCAAGGCCATGCTGACCTCTGCGGCCTCTCGTGGTTTGACGTCCCTTAAAGCTGCCAGACTCTGCCCACTCAGAGATGAAGCTCCTGGTTGTGGTTCTCTTGTATCCTAATGGCCAAACCTGCCACAAGCCATCCCTTATCCAGGGCTGAAACCACGGAGTGCTCCGAGTCCAACCCCCTGCTCTTCATCTTGATGCCTATTTTTCTTAAGTCTCCATCTTAGCTCCTGATACTCGTTGCATTCTCCTCCTAAGGCAGGTTGTTTGGAGAGGGGAGCAGGGAAAGTGTAGAAAACAGGGTTTTCCCCCCGTTTTCTTGATCCAGGAGGCCCAGGAGCTGTGATTTTTCCTACGTGGGAGGGAGGGAAGTGGGGGGGCTGAGATGTGAATGTGATGGTGCCTGTCCAGGTGGGAAAATCTAAGGAGGGAGAGCAAAATAAATAAATAAATGAATAAATAAATAAATAAATAAATAAATAAATAAAGTGGATAGGGATCCAAATTCCTGCTGTCCATAAGGAGCAAGACATGCCCTGCCCTGACGTGTAGGCAGCACCCACATCCTGGCCCCCCCCAAACCTCACAGTGGGGGGACTGGTCCCCTGGAGATGCTGTCCCAGATTGAAGGGGACAGGCAGCAGAAGGGCCTGTGGATTTTGGGGGAGAGAACCCCCAAAACATGCCCTGAAATCACCTGCCCAGGGAGTGAAAAGCAACATGTGGATGGATGGGAAGGGAGGGGTGGATGCTTTGGGTTCCCCACAAGTGTTAAATAGAGACTCCTGCAGCTGTTGCCAAAAGTCCTTCTCTACTTCAGGCCTTGGTTTTATGGAGAAAGGGGAAAACGGGCATTTGGCCTCCTCTGGGCCTGTTTTATTCAAAAACAAAGGCAAAAATGGGTTAATTTCATCGACATTTATTGTGAATGTTGTAGAGGGTCTGAAACTCAGAGCCCTGATCCCACTGAACCTCGGGGAAGGCTGCGGTTGACTCAGCCAGGTGAGGAACACCCTGGAAGATCCCTGTCAGCTGGGCATGGTGTCCACAGTGCCAGCCTGAGTCATTTCGAAGGCCCTGGAAGGAGGAGCAGAGGGGACACGCTGGAGTCAGACTCTGGTGCATCCCCAGGGGCTCTGGTGTGTCCCTCTCCCTGCCCAGCCTCGCACAAGACCCTACCCTTGGCTGTGGGGGTGACACACTCATCCCTCTGCACCTCTGGGGAAAGAGAAGCTGGTCAGGAAGGTGTGATGGCCTGGGGGGCTTTCCAGGTTAAACCCAAACACACCCAAGGTATGGCTGAGACCCTGTGTGCTGGGGACAGAACTGCCAGGGGGCAGGGTGGGATGGGATATTGGGAAGGAATTCTCCCCTGGGAGGGTGGGGAGGTCCTGGCACAGGTTGCTCAGAGAAGCTGTGGCTGCCCCATCCCTGGAAGTGTCCAAGGCCAGGTTGGATGGGGCTTGGAGCAACCTGGGCTAGTGGAAGGTGTCCCTGCCCATGGCAGGGGGTGGGACTGGG